GGGGGGGGGGGGGGGAGGGGTACTCATGTAAACGCATGCCGTAGTCGGTAGAACATATAAAACGCACCCTACGATGCCGGGTCAGAGCCATATGTCGTGTTTCTACCGGCCCAGCCTACGTTCTATAAAGCTGGTGATGATCCGGGGGAAGGATACTGTTATTGGGGCCTAAGTTGTCCTTTTTTGAGATGAGCCGGCTGCGCGACTTGACGTTTCGCTGTGGTAAAGGTGGTGGTTGCCGGTGATGGTGCTCTCACATGCAGCGAATCCCGGCGATTTGTGGTGTTGGTGGCAGGGGGTGCAGTACGGCGTGTGCCTGTGACGAGGAAAGACACGACCGTGGCGCCCCACTTTGTCCACTAGACGGTAGAAATTGCACGTGAGAATAAAAATTATAGGATGGACGAACTTCGCAACTCTTGAAATCACGCCGTTGCGCGTGACGACGCTCAGCATGGTCTGTTGTCACCGCCAAGTTTGTGTGGTGGAGGCATGCCAGCGAAAGCCCATGCGAAGGACGACGAGGATTTGAGAGGAGGGCAGGGACGAGATGAAGGACACAGCAGTGCCAACCCGCCCCATGCTGAACCCTAGTCTGTCTATTTCGTTTGTTTTCGGTGTAGTGTGGACTGCTGTCAATGGACGTGCCAGTTGGTGCCAGCGACCCTTTTCCGAACACCAGTAGTTTCCCCTTGGTAATGTTCCACTGCTGTGGGACCCTCTCATGGCTCTCCCATGCGTCGTTTGCTTCTCTCTCAGCACAAAAAAAACGGTGTCATTCGTACACACGCGTACACGTGCCTCCCCTTTATGGTGCGATCGGCGCTCCACCAGCGTCATCATTACAGGTCGTACATCAAAGGGGCGCGATGAACGAAGGATTCCTCGAAAAAATACGTACTGTAAACCAAGGAAAGGCTACACATTGGGTATTTAAGTTTGCCTGTAACCACAGCAGCAGGTGCACGCGTCGGTTGGACCAGTGCGGATATTGGAAGGTACGAGCACAGATCGAAGAAACGTTTCACTTGAGTGTTTCCACAGACCAGCTGAAACGGAACTTCAAGCCAGCAAAATGGACTCAAACGTTGCGGTTTGCCATGATGATCCTTGAACCTGTATGTATGTCCCTTTGCGCGACTCCAGGGGTTTTCGACCCTGGAGCATGCTTCGTGCCCTTTGGGCAACCCCCAGCTCCTTTCTTCTTCTTCCCCTTGTCCATGATTCAGATGGTGGCGGTGTGGGCGGTGTGGGCGGTGGCGCAGACCCAGCACAAGTTGCACAGAACCCTGCACAAGCTCTAAATATATGGGGGAAAGAGGACGGCATACTGAGCACCAGTTATATTCTTTGTCGTTCTTTGTCGATTCTTTGTCGTGAATGCTGCGATTTGATTGGTTATTCTTTGTCGGAGTCTGTCCCACTCTCAAAATTTTTCGCCGGCAGTGCCCCCAATCCCCCACCTCACGAACCCATACTATCTGCGAAGCCCCCAAGACCGAGGGGACACATCCCATCACAAAAACCACGATCGATCGTCCGTGTTCGCCAACACACAACAGCCGTCAGTCACACCCAACACCCAACACCTTTGAAAAAACATGTCGCTGAGCACAGCGGGCGTGGCGGGGGGAATCGCTCCCGGTGGTGGCGGCGCCGGCATGGCGATGGGCCCCGGCATGGCCTTCGGCGGCACCGGCATGGGCACGCCGTCAACGTTCCGCCCTCCGCCGTCGGCTCCGCGGGGGGGGGGCGACTCCTGCTGCGGGGGCGGCGGCGGCGGCGGCGGCTACGACCTCCGCGCCGCCGCGTGCGAGGCTGAGGAGGAGGAATTGGATGAAGACACGCACGCGTGTCTCGGCGTGGACGTCGGAACGTCGAGCATCAAGGTCGGTTGCTGTGTAGTGCTGAGGAGAATTGACGTGTGTGTTGTTGCGACACAGAGATCCATCCCGGCGGGCCGTTGGCACTACTATTATGCATACAGCAGTAGCACAAACTCCTTGTGCTGCTGTTGCACAGCGTAGCATGCTGTCTGATTATTTCAAGGCCCAGGACCTTTCAACAGAGGAAGGGTTTGGCGCCGTGGATACAGTATTGCACAACGTCGAACCGGTCTCTCCGGTGTGGGGAACAAACATAAACATATCATACGCATATGAGCGGGGGAACCGGACTACATATTTACCTCTGTTTACAACAGCAGTGCCTTGCCTTTCTGAGGCGATCGTTGGGGGATACATCCAGTGGATTTGTATTTTCCAGGTGCAAAGGGCCGGTCACCAAGGTAGTCTAGTTGGTATCCTCGAAAACCTATTGGCCAGGGTCAGGGGTTTTTGAATCCCGGCGTAATCGAGCTTGCAACGTGCGATTACTCTCGCATCCGTTCCCGTGGAAAGCGCTACTTCTACTGCTGTACTGCTGTAGTTCGTGTGTACACAAAGTAAAGCGAGTGCTGCACTCTCGCATTACACATCGAAGGCAAAGTACCGCAGGAGGATTGGGTAGGGGGCCTCAGGGAGAGGAACCCTTCTGTGAGACCACGGGCTGGATTAAACGGCGCAGGTGATGTTAGCGCTGACTTGAAGTGAAGACAAAAACACAAAAACAAAAAACACCCATGTAGTTCTAGGTTCTACGCTATGTAGACCGTAAACGAGCACTCTCCACGTGGAGAGCCTCTGAGCCAATGGGGTGCCCCTGTTGTGGACCGACCGGGAATAGTATGCATATACGATTTCTGTGCTGCTCGTGGGTACCACTTGCATTTACGGAAGGTGAGCGGCCTGCTTTCATAAGTGGCCTGCACACATGCACACCGGTCGCGTAGCACAGAAAGCACATGCTTTGTACCGCCGAACCGCCGGAGCGCTGTCCTGGCCGTCCTTTGCTCCCCCTGTCGTTGCTGCTGCACGCAACAAGCACAGACGTCTTGCCATTGGTCAGCCGATTTCTGTTGTCGATGCTGAGACAAAAATGCACACACACGCACGACAACGTTAAGTCCTGCTTTCCAAGGCTGCCTTTTCAACCAGCGGTCAGCGTGTTATAGCGCTGTCAGTGCTGCGGCGTTGGGTAGCGGGCACAACTCTCGTTTACGACAGCAGTGAGCCCAACTCGTTTCTTCCCGTCCGTGTGACAACACGCTAGGCCCGAATTGATTCAAGATCTGGAGGATGCAGTATCCACTGATGTCGTGTTGGACAGAACGTTTGTACGCAGTACGCTTAGTTGGATGCGCGTGACTTGGCCTCCGATGGTGGCGCGTCAAGCACATGGTCACCATCCAACGGTGCGTGCTGGCTCTCAGAACAGATGGAGCAAAAAAAACACACACCCTACAATACAAGACTGACGCCTTGTCAGTGGTCAACCGGGTAGCGCTAAGGTCGACCCTATCTAAGAAAACAACATATATCCGGCGAGAAGCTTAGGCTCGCCCATGACGCCCCCCACGGAGTCCCGGATCATGGCCTTCATTAGAATCGTTTTCTGTTTGCAGCCGCCATGAGACTGACGTCTTTTTCACTGGTCAAGCTGGTTGGCGCCGTCGATGCTAGTGACAAGGACAAGACACAGGCGCCCACGTTTTAAATTGAATGCTATCCAAGAGCTTTTTTGCGTGGCCTTTGTGGAGACGTTTTGCCACAATAATGCAGACGCCACCTTGGGGTGTGTTTTCTGCGTGACCACCAACAGCAGTTTGTTGGTTTTCCGCCAGGCTCAAGCGGGATGTTTCTGACGGTTACGGTAGAGGTTCTTCGATTACGCCCGCCCCCTGATAAATTTCTGTCTGTCTGTCTGACTGTTTCTCCGTCTCTGTCTGTGTGTGTGTGTCTCTCTCTCTCACGACCACCGGGGGGTGTTCTCACAACGTTCAGGCATGCCTGTACCTCAAGGACGGGGGCTGCAAGACCGTCGGCGGCAAGGCTCCTCTACCGGCCGGCATCCTTATCGACCGAAAGACAGGGGTAAAGGGCGTCCGCAGGTGAGAACAGAGAAAAGAGAGACCCGCCTACTCCAGGCGACAGAAGTCCCTTGTGTCCCTGAAACATTTTTGGTTCCTTGACCCCCCCCCCCCCCCCCCCCCTCCCCAGTCTAAAAAACAAGGGAATCAATAAATCTAAGGCCCCCCCCCCCCCCCCCATAAATTTTTCTTAAAAAAAATCCCCCAACCCCCCCCTTTTTTAAATAATAACCCCCCCCCCCTTTTTTTTTTCCAAAAAAAAAAAAACCCCTTTCCCCCCCT